TGTCACATGGTGAATCTTCCACTTTGTCTTTATAAATGGATAATGTAATGTTCCTCAAGTGATGTCATTGATACTTATTATGAGTAATTTTGCAAGGATGAATCTGGCTTTGTGTTTGCAGCTTGAATTGGCAACACCAGCTGTGTAAAAACCCAAGGCCTAATCCAGATATTAAGACTTTATTTACAGACCACAGTTGTTCCCCTTCAAATGGGGCACGTGCACCTACCCCGGTAACTCTTCCTATTGCAGCTGTCGCCAAACCTACGACTTATGCTCCCCTTGGAGCACATGGTGGAGTATGATCCTAATGTTTCATATGGTTTTGACAATAGATGTGAGGGATGTTCACTAACTGTTTCAAATGGTTCTCTGGTTACCATTTGCAGCCTTTTCCGCCAGCAACTGCAGCTTCTAATTCTAATGCTTTAGCAGGGTGGATGCTAAGTGCTAATCCTTCCTCATCAGTTCAATCAGCTGTTGTTGCTGCTTCATCATTATCTGTTCCACCAAATCAAGGTAAGTAAGTCTGTCATGGTTATTGATTTGAAACTTCACTAGTTGCAATTTGCAAAATACCATTTTTGTGAAGACTATGATGAACTGAGCAGGAACATTTCATTAGTTACAGTAATGTTTTTTTTTTTTTTTTTTTTCTCCTGCAGGACTACTAATCTGATTTCTAAAGATGGTCTACATTTGTGATAAATGAAGAACTTCATTGAAAGCTTTGGTTTTTTGAATAGCTAGATTATCTGATATCTTAGTTTGTCCGTCACAGTACCAAGAGCAGTAAAAAGAATTGGCTACTGCATTCTTTTTTGTATTTTCATGCTTCATACATCCTTTTGGCAATAGGATTGTTCCTTCTATTGTTCTTCTGGAAATTAGAAACTCTTACATGCTCTTTCCCCCTAATGATTATAGAATAAGCCTCCAGAACCACCAAATGATAACAGAAGAAATTCTTACCTTTACCAATTTCATGCTTGACACAATTCCTTTGATAAATCTCTAAGCTTCTGAAATTTAGTCCAAGGCTAACTACAGTCATTTGGAGGTCTTATACTCAGAAAATGTTCACTTTCACCAAGTTTGTCCACCTTGACCTCAAAGAGTCACTGTGCCCATCCTAATTCCAGACACGTTCTTAGGTGCATGATTCAAGACTTCAAGACTTTTAATACCCAAACTGCCTTCCCTTTTTGTACAATAAAGGCTATACCAAGCAGCAAGCACCGATTTTTTTTCTCATATTAAGCCTTTCCTAGTAACTTGCTATAGACATCCTCCATATTCTTGGTTAGTCATTCTGGAAGTATGAAAAATACTCTGGTATTTTTGGAGACTCAAATCCTAAGAGATACCACTCTCCTTGTTAATTTATTGCTACAACTTGACATCTGTTTTTGGAAAATTCAGTGGAAATTGGGGGGACCATTTGCTAATTAATTGGCAAACTCACTTCCTGAGAAACCAAATATATCCTTGATGGCCCTCTTCACACTGTTCTCCACTCCCCCCAAAAAGAATTGATTCTTTTCTTTTCTGTAATAAATAAATAATTTATTCTTGCTCATGTTTGTTTACATCCTTGACACAGAAAAGAACTCTGTAGAAACCTTGTAAAAAATGCCTGCCTTTTTTTATTAAAATGTTACATGACTAGAATTTTACTTGGAGCCTGGAAGGCTTTGATTTTTCATACATGTTTTTTTGGCTTGTTAAGGACCCATCTCACTGGGATGTTGCTGAGCCGTTGCCTTCTTATGGTCGAGGAATTGAACTTCCTGGGAAGAGACATAGAAGTTTGATAAATGGGTATATGTTAAATGATGTGGTCATAACAGGTTTATATACCTTGGCTTTCATTTTTGTACCTCTTTCTGTCCCCTTTTTTTTTTTTTTTTTTTTTTGTATTGGATTGACTTACTCTTACATGTTGCATTAGGTGATAATGGAACCATAGATGGCCAAGGTTCAGTTTGGTGGGATTGGTTCACCTCTCATTCCTTAAACTATAGCCGCCCTCATCTTGTGGAATTTATTTCATCTGAAAAGATACTTGTATCAAACATTACATTTCGGAATGCTCCAGCTTATAACATCCACCCAGTCTATTGCAGGTTTGTTAGCCAATGCTTTGGTGACAGTGATGCTTCTTCGAACGTTTACTTGATTTGTGAAAGTTAAGGAGTTAAATTCATATTTGACTGGATTTTTGCAGTGATGTATACATGCAAAATGTTTCAGTTTTTGCTCCACCAGGATCACCATATACTGTTGGTGTGGTTCCAGGTTTAACTTCTCCCTTGAATTACATGCTGAGATGCTTTCCTAACTCTTAAGTGCCTCTTCTTGACATCATGTAGTTCCTTTCTCTTATTAACATTATTTGCTTTCAGATTCTTCTAATAATGTCTGCATTGAGGATTGCAACATTAGTATGGGCCACGATGCAATAGCCCTTAAGAGTGGTTGGGATGAGTATGGCATTGCTTATGGCAGGCCTACCACAAATGTAAACATCAGAAGGGTCCACCTTCAATCATTTTCTGGCGCATCCATTGCCTTTGGTAGTGAAATGTCTGGTGGCATTTCTAATATTCAAGTGAAGCAGGTCCACCTATACAATTCATTAAGTGGAATTGAGCTAAGAACAACCCGCGGAAGAGGTGGTTATATTAAGGAGATCATCACATCAGATGTTGATCTAAGAAACGTTAACACAGCTTTTGGTGCCACTGGCCATTGCCGGTCACATCCAGATGACAAATTTGATCCTGATGCTCTTCCAATTGTGGATAAGATCACCTTTCAGAATATCATTGGCACAAACATCACTGTTGCTGGAAACTTCACTGGGATTGAAGAATCACCCTTTACTTCTATATGCCTATCCAACATCTCCTTATCAATGAATCCTGCCTCTTCCACTTATTGGGAATGTTCATATGTGTCTGGCTTTTCAGAGTCAGTGTTCCCTGAACCATGTCCTTGCCTCGAGAATTCAAATACCTCCTCAACATGCTTTTCCCTCCTGAACTCCAATGGTAGAAGTGCAGTCTTATGATACCATTGCCTTCAGACATAAAACCTCAGAATATTGCATTTTCTTCCATTTACCATCTCAGAATAGGTCAGATTCTTTCCCCAATAAGACATGTCTAGAATACCTGTTTGTTTATCCCTTCCATATTTTCTCGCACGTTGCAATCTCCAGGTTACTTGTACAGTTCCATTTGTTCATTCTTGTGTAAGAAAATTTTTGGTAGTGGTGGGTATAAAGCACAAAGAGAGGGGGGTCTTGGATATTTCTAGTTTTTCTTTCTGTTGAATTCCATTTTATGTTTATGGTACCGTTGGTGCAGTAATGATCTCATTATAGAATCTTTGTATGATTTGGATTGATTTGGTGGACAAAAATGGTACATAAATGAAGAGAAAAATTTTAAGGCTGCGTTTCGATGCAGCCTTCCGGGGGAAGTTGCTGCCCCCAAAAAGTACTGACTGCCTGCCTGCCTGCCTGCCTGCCTGCCTGCCTGCCTAGGAGTGTATTGACGGTGTTCAGGCTTGGCACTTAGGCAAAGGTCTAGTTTTAGTCCTTTGTTTTATTAGAATTATAGGTTTTAGTTTTTTTGACATTTTTAACCATTCATTTATTAAAATTAAAGAAAATAGTTTTCAATGATAATATTTTGTTAATTTTATTAAGTTGATTATTAACTCTATTAATTAATTATTAATTAGTAAAAATTTATTTTCAACTAATAAAATTCATAGTCAGTTAACAGAATTATTCTGTTAGTTGATTGTTAATTTTATTAGTTAATTGTTAACTGATAAAAACTTAGTTTTAGTTAATAAAATTAACAGTCAACTAATAGAGTTAGCAATCAGTTAATAGAACTAATGAAATATTATAAAGTGTGAGTTCTTTTTTTTAATTCTAATAGATGAGGGATTAAAAATATCATAATGAGAGGTTAAAATTTATAAATCTAATAAAGTAAATTGTTAAAAATAAGTTTTTACCCGGCACTTAACACAAATCCTTTTCATGTAGTATTTTGAAAAAATATATATTTAATATTTTTAATTAATTTTTTAATATATTTGATAAATTTTAATTAATATTTTATATATTTTTAAAATAATAAAAACAAAAAAAAATTATTCATTAACAGCACATTACAGCACTCTCAAATGAAGTTTTAATTTAACCAAAATGTTTACTTAACTAAATTCCTTTTCAAATATACTCCTAGGGGTGAAGAATTTGAAATTTAAAATTAAACAATTTCAAGTTAGAATCATAAATTAAGTGGAGAAAAATTTAAGAAAAAGAGGGGTTGTTTCCTCTTGTATTGTTCATCATTATTAGATATATATATATATATATATATATATATATAAATCAAACAAT